GGTTCCGGGTCCCTGCGGCGACCCCAGCTGGGGCCCCGAGTCCCAGAGTGGGCCGTTCAGGTGTGCGGGCAGGACCGGGTCCGGGTGGGACGTCCCAGGCCCCGCGAGGGGTCTCACGGGTGCCGTGTCTGCAGGGTCCCCCCCGGCGCAGGCCAGGCAGGAGCCCCCAGCCAGGGCCGCGCACCCGCAGGGCCGGTCCCGCTCCCAGGAGTCGGATGCGCACGCCGTGCACCATCGCCGCTGCCTGGGGCTGGCCGAGCCCGCTCTGCTGGCCGCTGAGCCTGTGCCGCGGGCTCTGGACCTGCCGCCCCGGCCGAAGGGGCCGGAGAGGCCGTTCCTGAGGTCCCCGCAGGGCTCGGGGCGGCCGCCTGGGGCCCCCAGTGGGGGCAGGCCCGGGAGAGCCTTCAGCTTTCATCCACCGGCCCCCCAACCCCAGGCCCCGCCCCAGGACGGTCACCATGTCCCGCAGTCCCTGCCCCCACCCTACGGCCACAGGCGGTGCCGGCAGAGGGGCCGGGAGGGCCACTCGCCGCTCAAGGCCGCACCAGGCCAGCCCGCGGCGCTGGAGCACGAGGCAGCGCGGGAGCTGCCACCCATGCTGCTGGGCGAGGCCTGCGCGGGGCCGGTGGTCCAGCGCCACGAGCACCACCACCACCACGAGCACCACCACCACCACGAGCACCACCACCACCCGGCCTAGCGGCCCCAACGGTACTAGGGACCCACGCGGAGGAGCCTCCTCCCTCCTCGGCGAGGAGTGTCTCACGCCAGCGGCGTCCCCGTCCCGAAGCTTTCCGTGTCATCCATAAACACATTTGTACACTTGGACGCCTGCCCCTGCTCCTGTCGCGATACCAAAGCAAGGCCCACGGGGTCGAAGGGACCCTGCTCGGACGGCCTTGGCGTGTTTTCCTCTCGGAGCCCCGCTGGGGGTGCTTCTCCTGCGCGGCAGGGGGCGCGAGGCTTGTCACTGGCCCCGGGGGGCCGGGGGCTTTGTGGGTCCTGTGGCTCATCCACCCTGAACTGGGGAGGGGCGGCTCAGGGGGCAGTCGCTGCTCGGGGCCGCGTGTGCGGTGGTGAGTTCCAGTGTGCGAGGCCGGCACGGATCACAGGGGAGAAGGGAAGCGGCCAGAGTCCAGAAGGGCGGAGGTGAAAGCCAAGAGGAGGGGCGGCCAGGCAGGGCCACAGGCGGTGCCGCCAGCATCCTTAGAGGACACAGACGTGGCCAGCGGGGCCAGGGAAGTGTGGGCGCCCCCGAGAACCACACACGCATGGACAGCTGGACAGGAGGTGGGCAGAAACCATTGAGTGCCGGGCACAGCCTCAGCTTTGGAAAAGCACGATTCCCTTTGGGAGGCTGGGAAGAGGGCCGCAGGCGAGCAGGAAGCCTGGGTGTCCTGGAACCTCGGCCCACGGATCCCCCCGAGGCAGGACGTGCCGCTGCTCCGTCTGAGGTGAGCAACTTGTGAATTGGTGCAGCTGGTTTTGTATTTACCTCCTTGGCACTGTTTTTAAGGATACAGCAAATTGGTGGTTGATCCGTGATTTATTCCCCAGTCATAATAAAAATACGTGCATTTTGTAACATGTCACACCTTGTTTTAAAGTGAGTTTTCAGTCGAATCGGTCTGTTCCCCTACACCAGCGTGTGGCCACGAGTGCAGACAGCTGGCCGCTCAGCCGGGACAGGCCCACGGTGCTCGGAGAGAGCATGTCCGTCGCTGTTCATACATTTGTAGAAGTAAAATTAACGCACACACAGCTCCGCATTTATGCGTAACTCTTCCCCCACTTTACTGCTCTAAAAGAGCAAAATAAAACCCTAAGCCTAAGATTGGGTTCCTGCTATGGGGACACTTCACGCCTCTGTGTGGGGCTGAGCGGGCTGAGGCTTACGTGGAGATCGCTGGCCCTTTGTGGATGCGCCCCGTCTCCATCTCCTCTGCCCCCCCTTCTAGGCGCCGCGTTCGTGGCTGCTTAAAAAACCCCTCTGGGCTTCCGAGTAGCTGGCGTCTCCGTGAGCTGCACCCGCGTGCTTAGGGAGGCGCAGGCGTCCCACACCTCAGGGCTCCGGGGGTCTCAGGAGCAGACGCAGGCCGGGCCTGGCTGGCCCAGAGGCCAGCGACCGGGTGTGGCCCCGCGCAGACGAGTCCACGTTCCATTCTGTTGTCGTGAACCCAGCTCCACGTCACCTGCCCCTCAGGCACCAAATGTTGGCCCCGACCCCGCTCCCTTCCTCTGTGTGCAGAGCTCCTGCACCCGGTCCCCACATGAGGGGACTTGTAATCCCAGCAGACCCATCCAGCCCTGCCACCGCCCACACCGCCCTCAGGCGGAGCTCGCTGGCCGGCTGGGAGTGTGGTGAGGCCTCAACTTCAGCCTGAGTCCAGACCCCAGTTTTAAAGACAAAATGTAACTGAAATGCCATCGAACGGACCAGAAGCTGAGTGTGTGTGTCTGCTGCCTGTGGATCCGTGGAGGAGAGAAGCCCACCCTCCCTGCCGCCAGTGCGGGTGCAGGACGGCTGAAAGGGACAGAGAAGCTGTTTGAGAGCAGCAACGAGAAAGATCACTTATGAGCACACAAAGGGTGCCGTGTGGCCGTGGACACGTTACTAAACGTCCACATGTGGAGAACAGCTCGTCTCTCGTGGATGCAGCGGCTTGACCTGGCGCGGGGCCCCGGGACCACATGCGTCAGGGGAATAAGATGCCCTCCTGGAAGAAAGGCTGTGAGACAGAGGTGGACGGGGTCAGCGGAGCTGTGTCCAGCCTGCTTTGGGGGCAGCTCCTGCCCGCTGGGCCTGGGCGGGGGTGAGACAGGGAGGAGGCCCCAGCGCCAAGTCCACCAGGGAAGCCTCGTGGTGACTGGGCAAGTACAGAGAGATGCCTTCTGTAACAGGAACAAAAAGCCTCATTACTTATTTAAGTGTAGATTTGGCTACTGGACGATCCCGAAACTGGACCAACCTGTGTCTCACTTCCTAAGGAGGCTCTCCCGGAGAGTGTGTTGCCAGAGAAACCTGGCACGAGCGAAGGTCTTCGCGACACTAGGGGGCGTGGGCCCTCGGCTTGGCCACCCCACCTCCTGGTCCCCCGTCCGCGCGCTGGCCTCCCTCTCGCCCCCTGGCCTCCCTCTCGCCCCCTTCCCGGGCCCGTGCTCTCGGCCGCTCCGCTCGTGCGTGCGGCCCCTGCCGGCCCCCGAGCCCGGGAGTCTCTTTCCTCGTGTCCCTCTGAGCACAGACACGACGTGGTCACTTATGTCTCTGCACCCGGGGCACCTGGTGTGGGACGTGGGAGGAGACCCCGGACCCCACTCCTGCTCCCAAGGCCACTCTCTGCCTCATTCCCTCACTTCTGCCCGCAACCCTCGTGCTTCTCTGCACCTGAGATGAGCCCCGTGCCCTGACCTCGCGTGCCGGGCCGGCCTCGCCTGTGCCTGCTGCCTGCGGGCCCCGTTCCCGTCTGCTCCTGGGGGACCCACAGCTTGTCTTGGGACCAGGCTCTTCACGAGGGAGCCCAGCGAGCACGGAGGGTGAGTGAGGGAGTGAGTGGGTGGATGAGTGAGTGGACGCTGCCCGCCACCACCAGACACAGCACGGCTGCTGCCCAGTCTGAGCCTGGAAGGATGGGGTGGGCGGTGCCCGCCACTGGCCATCGTCCGAGAAGTGGGACCCAGGGCCTCCCATGGGCTCCATGAGCCACACGCTCCCACCGTGCGTACGCCCACGGCACCTCTGTCAGGGTTGGGGGTGGCTGGGAGTCACTGCCCCGGGGGGGGCCAACCAGGGACGAGCCAGCGCCCCCAGCTGCCTCTTCGCCCTCCGAAGCGCCTGGCGCCGAGTCTGGCGGGGCTGCATCCCCACCGCGACCCCAGGCGCTCCAGGCTGAGGGTCCACGTGCACTGCGGTGAGGGCCTCGACCGCTTGGTGCCTCTGCAGACTCGGCGAACAGCAGGTGGGAGACATAGCAGGGCGGCCGGGGTTAGAGCCGCTGCTGGTGTCCACGGCGAGGGGGCAGCACAAGGGGGGCGCTGGGACAGAGCAGGGGTCGGACGTTGCCAGGGAAACCGGGGAGGCCCAGCCGCCAACACAGAGGTGGGGAGGTGGCCACCGGGGGCAGCGGCCGGGGAGGCTGAGGATCCACCACCTCCTTAGAACATTTCTCTTCACCCTAAACAGAGACCCCGTGCCCACCACGGGCCCCCAGTCTCCACTCCCGCCCCTGTGACTGCACCATCAGCCAGTCTTGTCTCTGGCTCTGCCCACCCTGGACATGTAACAGGAGCATGACGGTCGTGCCCGGCATCTGTCTCACAGCAGAATGTTCTCGAGGCTCAGCTGTATTGCAGCACTTCATCCGTCTCAGGACTGAGTTACGTACCGTCACACGTGTGCTCACTGTGCTCGTCCACGTGCATCAGATGACAGGCACGCGGGCTGCTCTACAGCAGGGTGGTTGTGAGCGCTAGGAACCGGCGCTTCCACGTCTGCTCGGGCATCCGTTCCTCTTGGCTTTTACGTCCAGGAGTGGAACTGCTGGGTCTCCTGGCTTCACACACTTAGGAGCTCCAACACTGTCCCCACAAGCAGTTTCTCTCCGTTCGGGCAACACTTGTCAGTCTTCCTTTCTTTGGTCACGCCTACATCCTCGCAGGCGGGAACAAGCCCGCGTCAGGACAGAGGGCCCCTCGTCACAGACTCTTGGCCGATTCCACCCTGATAGAAATTACAGGTGGAGTCGTGTCCGCCAGCAGCAGGATTTCACCGCTGTGCTGCACACCCAGCCGGGGGCACACGGGGCAGCTCCCTGTTGACAGCAGCTTTGCGTGTTCTGGTTTGGTTTTTACTTCTTTCAACCAATTCACGTGATGATTCTTTCGCCATCTGATTGTGCTTTGGCTGATCAGACCTGAAATAAACTCCTCCAAGAAAAGGGGGAGGGGAGCACCTCCAAACGTTAAATTTCTATGCTGAACGAGTCACAGGAGATCCTTCAACATACTCAGATTTTATACAATTTTATTCTTCTACTAACAAAATCATACAAAGGACCTAAAAAAGGAAAACATGAAATCAACTTTAAAATGGCTGCAGTTACGGTTACACAGTTGACAGTATGGAAAGGATGCCCCGTGTAGACGGACACAGCAGGAAGCAGGTGGAGGGCGCGGGCACCTCCGTTCCACGTGAGCCGGGGTCATGTGACTTAGGAGAGGGACTGGCGGGCCCCTCCCCAGATGCGCGACGGGTCTGGAGGCCACTGAGGTGGCTTTCACTGCCTAACTCAGCACTGACCCAAGACCCCCCACTCCCCAGCCCAGCTGTGGCATTTGGCACACGCTGTGGCCGCCGAACGCTGCCCAGCCACCCCTCAGAAGCGTCTGGAAGCACATGCTTAGCCCCTGCCTAACCTGAAATCCATGCACCAGGCCGATTCCCTTGGGAGCCCACGGAAGCCAGAGAAGGCCAATGGCTGCTCTGTTTGGAGCCCCTTTCACAGAAGCTATCTCCTTATGGTCAACTTTTATCACTCAAACTCCCCCAGGTGTTTAAATAAATAAATAAGCCATTGGGAAAGTGAGGCACAAATTACTGCGACAATGTACAATGGTCGTGATCACGCGTGTAAAGTGCAAACAGTCCAGGATCATTGGAAGGTATCGTGTCAGTGCCCTCGATGTGGCTGGGACCACCTGTCAGCGCCCTCAACACAGCTGGGACCGCCGTCGGTGCCGGTGCCGGTGCCGGTGGGAGGGGACACACAGGCTCAGCTGACAGCCGGGCGCTGTAGCTGCTGACGCCACACGCCCTCCCGCGGCTGCAGCCTCGTCCGTTTCTCCAGCGTGAAGTGTGGAAACTGAGATCACAGGGGCAGGCGCATGTCAGATGCTAAAGTGTGTGGCGCTCCCAGCCCCGAAGGCTCCCCCTCTTTGCCTGCAGGTTCCCGGAGCATAAACGCAGGCGGACACCCAGCTGGGAAGTCCCGATGCCTGAGCCCGGGCCGCCTGAGGAGCCTGCACGGAGCCCTCAGCTGCCGAGGCTCAACCTCAGTCTGTGCGGCTTCTCGCAGGCACCCTGGTCGGGGGGATCTGAGTGAATGTAACTGCACGACAGCCCAAAGATCCAACCCAGGGAAATTGATTCTAGAATCCAAGGGGCTTCCCACCTCCTCTGTCACCACCAGACGGCCAGCCATGTCCCAGGTCACGGCCAGCCATGTCCCAGGTCACGGCCAGCCTCGCCGGGGCGGGGGGCAAGGGGGGCACGAGGGCTTCGCGCCTCCCCTCGGCCACGAGGAAACCTTGAGTCACGTGCCGGCTCTTGGCCTGGACAGGAGAGCCCCCGGTGGCATTCAGGTGCTGGTCAGCAAGCATCGCGGCGCCATCCGCACACCCACCGGGCACATCCCCAGTGCGGCCGAACGTTAGGAGTAGATGGTGACCACCTCCCGGCCGCTGCCCCTAACCAGGAGGACCCTGTTCAGCCCCTCAGTCAGGACCTCGAGGAACTCCATGTCTGGGGGCACCGAGTTAAGGACAAAGCCAACCCAACCAGATGCGTGGCTGAAAGGGTGAATGGAGCACCTTTACCACCCAAGAGCCCACGTCCAGTTAGGCCTTGGCTGGAGAAAGAGGCGAGGACGGGACAGGGAAGGCCGGGACCCAGGGCCTTCAGAGGAGGAGACGACCAGTGTGAGGGAAAGAGGGGCACTGACCCTGCCAAGGAGGGACCTGTCCAACCCCAAGACCCTGGATAGGCCGGGGAGTCCTGGTTACCGCGAGGCACAGACCCGTGAAGCGTGTGGTCAGCCTGAGGCTCAGAACCCGGGATCAGGCTGCGTGCCTCCTCCCACCTCGTCCTGCCCCCGGGGGACCGACCTGTGACCCCGAGGCCAGGATGACAGCCTCGCGCCCCGCGGCTGACCCACGAGGGCTCCACCCACCAGGAGGCTTCAGGGCACCTGGTGCCTGGAAGGGCTTGGGGGTGGAGCCACGGCTCTGCCACGTCCTGGAGACGGGCAGGAAGGGACCCGGCCGGGCGGGAGCTCAGAGCCCGGCGCCGACGAGGACCCAGAGCCGGAGCTGCAGCAGGAAGGATCGGGGTCGGTCATGCGGTGACTCCCCCGCCGGGTCGGTCTCTGAGCCCACGTGCTCCTCACACACCACCCTGGTCCAGGGACCACTGTGATCCTCGTGGAGGCCCCGGAAGGCCCCCTCTCAGTCACGTGGCCACACTGCCCCTCGGCCCCACTGCTCACGCCCGAGGCAATCAGGGGCAACTCCTGGGGCTCCCCCGCCCGGCTGCCCTGGGGCCCCAGCAGCTCAAACGTGGGAAGGAGAAGCACACTCGCCCGCTGGCTCGCGGCCCCCTGCCGGCCACGTGGGGCCCAGGCAGCCGGCGGGAGCCGCCCGCTCGCAGCCTCTGCGTGTGCCTGCCCACGGCCCTGCGGGCGGCCCGGGGCCAAGCGGCTCCGGTCCGGGCCACCCGAGCTGGCTGCCCCGCCCAACGTCGAGGGCCCTGCGGCTCCTGGCCCCTGGCCCGGGTGTCTCCGCTGAGCAGGAGAGGAGGGGGTGTTACCCTGCTGCGGCAGCGATGCCCTGACGTGGGGATGGTGCCCGGGAAAGGATACAGTTCTCGTCCCCCTGCCGGTTTCTGGGGGGGCCCGGCATGTTCAGCAGGACCAGCTGGGCATCCTGGGACTTGTCAAGGACGACGCCGTTGAGCTTCACAGCCGTGTGCATCCTCCGCACGTTGGACTGGTCCCTGTGGGAGGAAGATGGTCACTCAGCACCTCCAGCCGCGGTCCTGGGTGCCGGGCTCAGGCCCCACCCTGCCCGCTCCACTTCCATCAGGAAGGGCGGGTGAAAACAGATCAGACCCGCCACCCGGAGCACCCCCGGCACGGCGATTGCACGTGGAGGCCAAGACGACAGCCGGGCGCGTCAGCCTCTGCTCCCCAAGCACTGCCCCTCGGGCGGGAGCAGCCCCTTCGACGGCCCAGCGTGCACCTCCAGGTCACGGAGTATCTCCCGTTGAGACCCCCGCCCTGCAGCTGAGCCTGCCCTAAATGCTGCCCCTCGCTGCTTCCAACGCAGGCTGGGGCTCAGGGGCTGCACAGAGGGTGAGTGAGGAAGGGGCCAGCCCTCCACCCGCTCTGGAGGCCCCAGGTCCTGGAGCAGAGCCAGAGGTGCTGGCTGAGTGTGTCCGCCATGAGGCCCACCCCCGGCTCTGTCCACCCGGCCGACGGCTGAAAGACGAGAGCCCCCGCCCTTGGTGACCCGGACCCTGTGCCCGTATGCTCACTGCCTGCCCGGTGCCCACACTCCTCGAAGCGGGCGGGGCATCCACTGTGCACCGGTTGTTCTCGAAGCGTCCCGGGCAACCAGGTCTGGCAGCAGCCCCCAAAGCAGGATCCCCAGGGAAGCAAGACTGGGGACACCAGGTGCTCAGGCACCTGCGTGCTTGTTCTCCCCCCTCCCCAGGTCCCTCCCCAGTGAGCTGGGTTCCAAGAAGCAGGGGGCAGACCCCCCGGCTGGGAAGACCCGCCTCACTGCACCAGCACCCCACCTGCGCTGGACGCTCCAGCACCACCGCCAACTCTGGGGCCACACACAGGATACGTAGCTCAAAGGCCACCCGTGCCTCGGACATAAGAGGCACGGGCAGATGGGCAGACATACAGACAGAGGCCGCCACACAAGGGGTCAGGGAAAGGCCCCCAGGCTGCATTCCAGGCCACAACCTTTGATCAACACAACCCTTAAGCCAAATAAATCCAATTACAGCCTCCAATTACCAAGAGGGATACAGGGATACGGAGCCCTTGCTTTCCTCTCTCCAATTTTATCTGGTAAAATTACAGGTTGGGTCTCTGTCCACAGCAGTCAGGGGTCTTTCGTTACAAGAACCGTGAATCAGTTGCCAGGATGGACCACAATTACCAGTGCGTTTGGGGACAAGGCGACCCCAGGAATGCGTGTGTGACACTGAAGGGCCTCTCAGGGTTAACAGTCTGAAAACACTTATAATCTTAAAATCAGGAGTTTGGGTCTGGACAGACCCGCAGCTCCAAGATGACAGGCTCCGTGGAGGCGAGAGAGGCGCGGACGTGGGGCGGGGCAGCCCGTGTGTCCAGGAAGTTAACGGAAACCTGCACTGCCTCCACAGCCGGCCGCGAGGCCACCAAATGGAAGCCCGTGGCCGTGTGCTGAGCCTGGAGAAGGGCTTCCCACACGGGGTCCTCTGAGGCTGGGAACTGCGGCTGGGGCGGGGGCCGCCCGGGGCGGAGGAAGGCTCAGTGGGGGCAAAGGTGGAAATCCAGACCCTTGGCTCCAGACGGAGACACGGAGGAGGCTGGCGAAACAGAGAGAGATGCCCACACGCCCGGGGGCCAGCGAACCCGCCGCAGGGCGCCCACCGTGGGGAGCTTTAGTTGGGCACGTGCCACTTGTGGGCCGACCTCCAATCTTCCGGGAGCCCCTCCAGCCCACCCCGAGGAGAAACCAGACGGGAGTGGGGTTCCGTCTGCCGCTCGCACCCTGCTGACCCCTGCCAGGCGCACGCGGGGCACAGGCCCACGGCTCACCGCGCCTTCTGGGGGGGGCACACGCACTCCTGTGTCCACAGGTTTGTTTTTGTCTTTTTAATTAAGAGGCTTTACTCGTAGGGCACTTCAAGGTCGTGAAAACACGGCAGGAAGTGCAGGACCCGGCCCAGCGCTCCCCGACCCATCTGCACGTTTTGCTCCCTCAGTGTGGGACACACGCGGGTTTCGGGGCTGGAACGGGTAGTGCGCCCCGAGTCCCGAGGCTCCACGGAGCACGCTGGCCAGGCTCCCACGGGAGGGACAGCAGTCCGAAAATCATGGGGGAACAAGGGGTGGACAGATGCACAGACAGACAGCAACCCCAGGCGGGCCCTGGAGGCCTGGCCCTAAGCCTTCAGGGGCCGGCCACGCAGAGGTTCATCCACATCCCTTCCCACGAGACTAAAGGTGGCAGCTTCCTATGGGGCAAAAAGGCACCCGGTGCTGGGCAGCCAGGAGGAAACGCCGTCCTGGACGAGCTGAGATGAGGTCCGAACCCCCAGCCCCAAGGGATGTGGGTGAACGATCGCTACTAGCTACAGGCACGGCACACGCACTGCTCCACTTGTAGAGCCGCTCGGGACCAACCTCCCTCCAACCTCAGTCCTCACGTGCTACCCAGAGAAGGGATTTTGGGTGTGTGCCCTGAGCCGCTCCAAACAGAGTGAGCAAACTAAACAGGAAGTTACTGAAAGCCACAGTGGGTGAGCGCCACCTGCACACGGACATGCGCACGTGGCCCAGGCACATATACACGGACACGCACACGTGGGCCAGACGCATATACAAGGACATGCACACACACCCGGACACATACACATGGCCCAGGCACATATACGCGAACACGCACACGCACAGACATGCGCACACGGCCGAGGCACACATACACGGACACGCGTACACACCTGGCTGAGCACACATACTGGGACGTGCATGCACACACAGAACTTGGCACACACATGTACACGGGCACACACACACACAGGGCCGAGCACGTACGCATGGACACGTGCACACACACTGGGACGTGCGCACACATGTACTCACGGGCACACCCACACATGGGGCCCTGCACACACACGGGGCTGTGCACACACTCGGACATGCACACGTGGTTCACGGGGGCTGTGCGTGCAGCGCATGCCAAGGCAACCACGTCTACGAGGTCCCGCGTAAAGGGAGTGACTTACAGGCTTCCCCATTCTCTACATGGAAGAGAAAACAGAGAGCACGTTACTTTAAGCGGAAACACGACACACGCTTTGAACCGCTACTCGGCTCATCCCCGGCTGCTCCTCTCATCTGACTGTGGCCCTCCTCAAGCACACTGACCCCTCGGGCCCCCTCGGGCCCCCCAGGCCCTGCCGATGACTCAGGGCTCCAGGGCTCTGCTCCACCACCGAAGACCCGGGAGATACTGTCCTAGTCTCCCACTCGGGACCCCTCCCCAGGTCCAGCCACGCCACCGACTGGCACCTGTGCCAGCCCTGGGGGCCCTCAGCTCAACAACACAGCCAAGAGCCGAGGAGGGGGACGGGGCCCCGGCCCGACGGGCAGCCTGGACGTCACCGCGGGGGTTCAGGCCTGACCCCTAGGTGCTGGGACACCCACCAGGAACACTGACGGTGGCACTGCCGCCAACCCGCCACCCGCGTCCCCGCTGACTGGCGCTGGAAGGAGGCTGCGGCCCGGGGCCGGCTCCGGCCTCTCCGAGGCTGGATGTGCCCGCCGCTCCTCGCGGAGGCAAAGGGGCCCCTCGTGGCTGCGGGCTGCTGCAGGTGGACACTCACGGCTTCAGGCTGAAGAGGTCCTTGAACCCGGACACGCTGGTGTCCTTGTTCCGGTACTTCTCGGCGACCAGCTTCTCCTTCGTCCAGGTCATCTGCACCTTGTCCAGCGCGCACGGGGCCTGGGTCTTGGCAGCCACAGCAGAGTGGGAGATGGTATTCCTGTCGTGGATTAGCTGAGCCTGGAGTGAGAGCAGGACAGTGACCAGCCTCGCCGCGACGGCAGGAGCCCAGCCCGGGGGAGGGCGCTTGCACGGAGAGAGGAGCCGGCCAGCCCCGGGCCCCGCACAGAGCACAGCTGACGGGGCCTGGGGACGTCTGGACCGGCCCTCCCAGGCCCCTCCTCCTGGGCTTCCAGACCAAACCCATCGTTACATTTCTGTCTCCTCCTGTCCCAGCTCTGAAAGCCCCTGAGAAAGGACCTCTTCAGACGTGCTGACGGGAGATGTTGACGTGCACGTCTCCGCACTGCACGTAGCCCCGCCCGCCGCACACACAGGCTCTGCCTCAACCTGCTCATCCATCCATCTATCCATCTGTCCATTCATCCGTCTGTCCATCCATCCTTCCCCTCACCCACCCACCCATCCATCCTTCCATCCATTCTTCCACCCATCCATCCATCCATCCATCCATCCATCCATCCATCCATCCACCCATCCATCCTTCCATCCATCCGTCCATTCACCCGTCTGTCCATCCATCCTTTCCCTCACCCACCTACCCATCCATCCATCCATCCTTCCATCCATCCTTCCATCCATCCTTCCACCCATCCACCCACCCATCCATCCATCCATCCACCCATCCATCCACCCATCCATCCATCCATCCACCC